ATATATATTAATATAAATACTTTTAAATTATAAAACTTTCTTATTTTATATAAAATATTTTAATTTATAATTATAAATATTTTCTTATTTTAATTTATAAAGTCTTATTTAAATTTAAAAATACCTTTTAAAATTTTATTTTATATATTATTTTATATAAAAAGCTACTATATATTTAAATATACCTTTATTACTTTCTTTAAAAATTAAATTTTTATAACTTAAAATTATAATATTTAATTAAGTTTAAAAAGTATATTCTATTTCTTATAAATTAAATTATTAATACTATTATAATACTTTTTTATAATATTATATAACTTAAAATAAAAAATAAATAATAATATAAAATAAAAAATAAATAAAATATAATAAAATATATATATATTTAATAAACTATATATAATAATTAAAAATACTTAAAATATTAATTAAAATTAAATAATTATATACTAAATATTACCTAAAAACTATTATAATATAATAATTAAGTTAGAAATAATAAATTTTAAATAAATATTAAGTTTTAATAAACTTTATAACTTAAAAGTTATAAATTAAAATAATATTAAAAATAATTTAATTTAATTTTAAAGACTTTTTTACTTTTACTAATTTAATATAAATATTCTTAATATAATTATAATTAAAATAAAAGCTTATTTTTTAATAAATATTAAAATTAATTTTAATTATATATTAATAATAATAATATTTAAACTACTAATTTACCTATTTTTAAATAAAAATCTAATAATAATAATATTACTAAAAGTATAGTAAATATAATAAAAAAAAAAAGTAAAAAATATAAGGAAAAATTATAATTATAATTATACCTATAAAATATAACTTTATTCTATCTAATAATATAAAAGTAAATATAATATATTTTAACTTTTATTATAATAAAGTTTAATAAATAAGTAAATAAAAGGATTAAATAAGGCTAAAAGTAATATTTAATATTTACTATTTATTTAATAAAAATAATTCTATAAGCTATATAAGCTATACTTTTATTTAAAATATTATTTTAAATATAAAATTACTAATAAAATACTATATATTTTAAATCTTAATAAATAATTATAATTTTTATAAAGTACTTACTAAAAGTATAAATAAAGGCTTAATAATAAAAATAATTTTAAGTTATTACTAATTTTAAAAATATTAAAAGCTTTTAAAATATAATAAAGTATATAAATTACTAATAGAATATAAAAACTTTATTAATATATACCTAATTATATTATTATTAAATTAATAGTTTTATAATAAATAAATATAAAAACTTTATTATATTTAATTATATTATTATTATTAAAGTATTAATATAATTATATTATAATAAAAATTATAAAAATTTAATTATTTTAAAGTAATTAATTATTTTTTTATATTTTACTATTTATAGTTACTTAAAGTAACTATTAATTAATATTAGTATAGGTTATTATATATATATATATAAGGAATAGTTAGTTAAGTTAAATTATATAAGAGGGAGGAAGCTAGCCCTAAAGGGCTAGTAATAAGTTCCTTACTATAATCTACTAACTAGAGTTATATAATATAACTTAAACTATTTACTAATTACCTTTATTCTTATAATTTTATAAATTAAATAAATAACTATATAAATAAAATAATAATATATTTATTATATAAAAACTTTATTTTATTTATTTAATTAATTTAATTAATTAAATTAATTAATTAAATAAATTATAATTAAATTTTTTATTTAAATAATTATATAAATAAAGTTAGGGCTGGGGGTTAAGGGTGGCAGGTGGGCCCCGCAGGGGTCCCTGCAGGTCCCCTTATCGATAAGGCTGCCACACCATTACCTCTCGCCCCGAAGCCCGAGGGGCAACCTTCCTTTCTTCCTTTCTTCCTTAGGCAACCCTACTCTTTAAATCCACTCTATTTGGTGCAAACTTCGAGCCCTTGTGCCGTGAAGCCCAAGTGACGTCTCAAATAAATTTTATTTTTAATAGTTATTAATTAATTATTAATTAATTATTAATTAAATAATTTAATTAATTATATAAATAAAAGATAAATAAAAAAAATAATTATTAAAAGAATTACTTAATCGATTATTAAAACGATTAATTAAATTAATTAATAATTATAAATTAATTAATAATTATAAATTAATTAATAATTAATTATAAGTAATAAATAATTAGTAATAATTTAATAAATAATTAATAATTAAATAAATAATTAAATAATTAAATAATTTAAAAACGTTAATTTAAAGTATTTTATTAATTATAAAAAAAAAAACTATTAAAAAAGTTAATTAATAAAATATAAATAGTTAATACTATTAAATAATAATTTAATAAATAATTAATTAATTAATAATTTAAATTTAATTTTATTTATTAAAGTAATTTAAATTTAAATAATTTAAATAATTTATAAAATATTAATTTAAAATTTTTTATAATATTTAAATTAAGTAAATTATAATTATATATTTAATAGTAATTTTAAATAATTAAAGTTATTTAATTAAAATATTTTATTAATAAATAAAGCTTTTAATTAATTAAAAAGATTTTAAAGATTAAAAAGTATTAATATAAAGATAATAAATTATAATAAATTAATTATTATAAGTAAATAAATAAGATTAATAAGTTTATATTTATATATAAACTATTTAATTTAATTAATAAATTTAATTAACTTAATTATATATTTTATTATTTAATTAAATAAACTTTAATTAATATTAATATATATTACTTTAACTACTTTTATATATAAGTAAGTTAATTAATAATTAAATTTATTTAAAATTAAAAAGTTTTTAAAAGTTTTTTAAAAATTATTTTATTTAAAGTTTTAAAATATAAAAGATATTTTAATTAAAATTAATTAAATAAATATAAAATAAATATAAAATATTTAAAGGTTTATTTTAAAAAAGAAAACTATTAAAAAAAATTAAATTTTTTTAAATTAGTTTTTATATTAAAATAAAAGTTTAATATTAAAAAATTTTAAAATTAAACTTTTTAAATACTAAATATTTTAAAAACTTTTTTCTTATTTAAAGAGAGTATTAAGAAAAAAAGATTACTAAGAGTTATAATTATTATTAGATTATAATAAGGTGGAGATAATATTTTAAAACCCTTAGATGTACGGTATGGTGGTTACTTTCGGTGAGGCGAGAGTGCCTACTGATAACTAGCTATCTGTCTAAACGCACCTTCCTCCTTGCGACAGGGAGAGATGTAGGGAGTGAGGGAGTGAGGTAGGGAGGGCGGAAAGGAGAGGGAGGGAGGAATAGAGGAATAGAGGAATAGAGGGGGAGGGAGGGAGTGAGAGAGCGGGAGGTAGTAAGCGCTCTTTCCTAGTAGTAAGTAGCTGGCTGGTTTCGCTTCTATTCCGCATACTTCTGAAGACATACATGGCGCCTTCATACGGTGATTCATCTTACTAGTCCACAAAATCGAGGCATCCCGTAAGCAGCGCAAGGGGAAGACACACATACCCGCAGTCCTTAACGGAACAAGCGCGCACAAGAGCGGGATGTTCTGCATAAGGCTGAACCTATAGCCGCCCGGCTATTAGGCTTGTACCTGACAAGAGATAACCGGCGAGTCTTGGAATAGCTTGATTTCTCCAAGCAGCTCGGCAAGTCCGTTAGTGGCTTCAGCATGGAAATCTTGGCCACGTGCAATGATCCTTCACTTACTCGCTAAGTATAAGGCGCCTCCGATGTCCCCAGACAGTAATTATCTTTCTAATTCAGACTTCTAGTACTTTAAGAAGCCTTGATATCTCCGCTATTATTTTTAAAGTAACCTGTCTTCTAAAACTACCTAGGTAGCCAGCCATGCTTATATTACCTGGGTATGCATACTTAGTTGTCAGCCCAGGTGATGTATAAAGGCTGGCCCAGACAATGCCCACATTGTCGACTTAGGACTAGTCGAACCTAAATCCAAAAATGGAACTGGGGTTGACCAATTGCCTCGCCAGCTCGTCTCCGAGATTCTGGATTCTGACTCCCCACAAAGAGAGCTGTGCGACAAGGTGGCGCCATGGCTGGCCGTGATCACCAAGTTTGACGTGGGCGAGTGTGGTAAAAGACCCACCTCTCGCCGAGATAAGGGAGTGGGTTGATTCTGCGGTGGTTCCCATCGTGGTCGTTCCCGTCATGGTCGCGGTGGATTCTCGGACGAATTTGAGACAACGCGATTCAGGGGCTAGAGATAACGGAAGTGAGTATGGGGAGCTGGCGACGAAAGTTACGGGTAATCCCGTGCTTTTCAATGGAAGCTCGGTTAGAAAAAGGTCACGAGAGCGCCCGTGAACATCAAGTGATTATTATCGAGAGGACTGACGAAGCCGTTTGGGAAACATGGAGCCTTCCAGTCCCAGTCTCTCGGATCTTACGTACAGACAATGGATGCAATTGGTATCTCCACGATTCAAGACTGTAGCCCCAGAATTACCCGAGAACCGGCATTACTGCGGCGAGATCTATGGCAGATAAGGACATTCCCCCAGACTTCAAGGAGCCCAATTCAGGACGACCCGCTGCCAAGCCAACGCCTTGCACTGGCACAATACTATGTACTGAGTTATAGACTCGTGGCAAATCCCAGCCCGAGATACCGTGCAACGGTCAGTGGGCCCTGACCCCATTCGGCAGACCTACCCTGAAGTAAAGAGTTTGACAAACATGGACCCTCCCGGTTCTTGATTCCTCCCATGGGTTGGGACCCGACGAGGGCGGATCCTAGATAGGCCGTGTCTACTGACCCAGGAAGGCCGATACGAAAGCATCCGCATGCTTGTTAACAGGTGCAGTGGTATATAGCAGCATTGACCACGCTGGTTTTGTGAGACGCTCGTGTTCTCGTTGTCCCAATCCTCACCCCTTTCCTTTTTTTTCATCTCTCTTTTTCGCAGAATTTTGGGACAAGGCTTAGTTCTTCAGCCGCCCACAAAAGCCAGCCACCATGTACGGTATCAGTAGGAGCGAGACCGACTCGGACTCGTCGGGAAATGACAAGAAGGAGAAGGAAGTCGTCAATGTCCTCGAACCGGTCGCTTCCACGCGCGTTGCACGCATTTACGAGGACCCAAATGCATTGGCTCAGCCTGAAGACACACACGTTGGAGAGTTCGGCACAAAACGTGACCTGGTTCGTCAACCCTCCTTTGTCTTCGATTGATTGAGAGCCTCACATATCACTGTTCGAATTGGACCACTGACTCTTTTGTGCAGAAAGCTCGCCATGTTTCCATGATTGCACTCGCCGGTACAATAGGGACTGGTCTGTTTCTTGGCTCCGGCTCAGCGCTGGCCAATGGCGGTCCGGTCGGCTTCTTCCTGGGTTATACAATTGTCGGATGTTTAGTCGGCATGATGATGTACTGCCTGGGTGAGATGTAAGTGGCTCAGCTTTAAATGAGACTCGGGACAAACCTGCATGTAGTTACTGACAACCTTTCTTGACAGGACCGTCTTCGCCCCCAACATTGGTGGATTTATCGAAATGGGCAACAAATACCTTTCGCCTGAGATGGGATTTGCAATGGGATGCAATTATATCCTTCTCACGGGCTTCACTGTCCCAACAGAGATCACTGCGATTGGTCTTATGATTGGGTTTTGGGATGAATCTTCATCACACTTGGGCATATACATCGCCATCTTCCTGGTAGTCTGTGTTGCCACCAACTTCCTCGGTGTCAAGTGGTATGGTGAGGTCGAGTTCTTCTTCGCCTGCCTGAAGATCGCTCTCCTGGTCGCCCTGATCATGTAAGCATCAGCACCCTCATCTTCTCGTCAATGTTTCTCGTCTTTCAGAATCCAGCACCTCAGTATTCACAGGACTAACTTTACTCTAGCTTTGGCATTGTGGCCAATACAGGGGGCATCAATGGAGTCTACACCGGTGGGAAGTACTGGCGGGAAGAGCCCTGGAACGACGACTTCGGCGGCATAACTCCCGTGAACACCGCACGGTTCCTCGGCTTCTGGAAAGTGCTCACTCAGGCAGCCTTTGCCTATGGTGGCGTCGAGTCCATCGGAGTCATTGCTGGAGAGGCACACAACCCACGGAAGACAATGAAGTCAGCAACCAAGACCGTCTTCTACCGCATTGTCGGTCTGTATGTCACCGCGGTCATCATCATTGGCCTCAACGTCTCCCAGAACTCCCCCGAGCTCCTCAGCGCTGTCAGCTCGGGCGGACACACCGCAGCAAGCTCGCCGTTCGTCGTCATCTGCCAGCAAACCGGGGTCAAGGTAATGCCTAGCGTTATCAACGCTATTGTGATGACGAGTGCCCTCAGCAGCGGGAATGAGAACGCTTACGGTCTTTCCCGCACGTTGATGGCGTTGGCTCGTCAGCGCTCGATGCCTTCCGTCTTCCTCAAGACTAGCCGCGTCGGCACCCCGTATGTCGGTGTCATAGTCGCCTTTTGCTTCGGTCTCTTGGCGTTTCTATCCGTCTCCAACGGCTCGAGCCAAGCCTTCACCTGGCTATCGAATCTGTCCGCCCTGTCGTCGCTCATTGCCTGGACCTGCATCTGCTGCTGCTACGTGCGCTTCAAGGGTGCCCTCGATGCCCAGGGTATCGACCGCCGCAATCTCTCTCTCCGAGGATGGGCTCAGCCTTACATGGCGTACATCTGTATCTTCTTCTTCGTCCTTATCATCTTTTTTAATGGCTTTGCCTCCTTCCTCGGAGGTTTCAGCGTGGCAGACTTCTTTGCCAGTTACATCACCATCCCTGTCTTCGCCGTCGCCTGGCTTGGCTTCCGCCTCTACAGCGCAAAGGTTGGGAACCCTTCGGGTCTGACGCCACTCGACCAGATAGACCTCAGCCGTGGACCTGCTGCGGCACTGAAGGATACGAAGTATGACCTCGGTGCCAGGGGTCCTATGACATCGAGCAATTAAGGTCGAGGCTGGCCTGAGCCATTGCTGGGTTGTGTTTAAGCAAATGTAAATATCAAAAGTGCATTTATATGGATGAAAGGTTTAGAATAATTACAAAGAATTAAGCAAATTCACACTCATCTCAAGAAGTTTCTTAGTCCAGCCGGCAGCATAACAAACAGCCTTGAAGTGAATAACACCGTCATTATGTTGCAAAGTTTGTACCCTCCACAGCCTCTATAGTAGGGAGATTCCACCTTCAAGGGTCGAAGAAATACGGTGGCCGCCCACGCTTCCTCTCATCGGGCTGGATCTCCCACATCTCACTCTCCGAGAAATTATTCCAGTAGAGCGACGTAGGTGTGATGACTTGAGCAAGCCGTTTCCTCGCGCCTTCTACGTCCGAAGGCTCTCCGGCCTCTTTCTTGCGATACTCTTCCCTGAGAGCTTCGTATTGGTTTTTTTCCCCGGCTAATCCATGGCACGCATCTGTGTTTATGTTCAATGAGTTAGTTTTTGTACAACCAGGGTGGCCTTTCTTCCAAAAAGTCTGTTGGTTGGGTCGTTGAAACTATATGGAAAATATGTGCACATGTGCAATTAAGGTTCCGACAGCCGCCTTAAGCTTGTATGGGGCGAGTTGTAAAACAGAAAGAGGTACTTACACTGCAATGAATTCTCGGTCGTCTTTCAGGAATGTCTTGGCGGAACTTGAAAATATGGTATTCGGTCATGCCATTGTAAGCGTCCCACCGCCATTTATTCTCAAGGTTGACTTTGATCGGTAGTGGGCACTCTGTCGTAGGATCTGGACTTGGTGATATCAGGAATGCGATGAGGTCGTGGAACTGCTTCTCCGTTGGCGGCGTGAGCGTCTTGGACGGGTGCTGTCTTGTGAATGTAGATGCCATTGCACTAGTAACGCTCCCGTGATTAGTGTTCGTTCACACTGCAAACAACAAACAAATGTTCGACCTTTCGAGCGTCTAGGCTCGTCCCTTCATCTGTTCCCTTCCTTGCAGAAGGTCTGAGTGCCAGTATTGCTATAGTCAGCCAGAGGAAAAATGGATGCACCCACCCCGACGTCCCAGGGGCGTAGGTATGATGCTTATAACCGGTTGGCAGACCAAGCTGGGGTTTCCAACTGTTATTGCTTACCTGTTCCTCAGTCTCCCCGCGATCGAAGAGGACGACACCACCAAAGATCCACAACTCGGCCCAGTACCCCACAACGTCCGCCAGGCCTTTATAAAACCTCTCCGATTTCAGATACCAATTTGCATAGAATGGCGTAGGCGGCCCACATTTATTGCGTTCTTGTACGGGTGTGTTCTCGGGCAAGCTTGCAAGTTTTTCATCACGCCAGTGAGCCCACTCCGCGTGTTTGTGAATACCGTCGTCGAGCTCATAGAGATATACTGAAATGTCGTGACATGCGATTACGCATAGCTCTAGTAGCCGAAGTTTCCAGGCCTGAGAGCCTGGTACGGTACTTTGATATGCTTGAAGCAGCTTGACATCGATAGTGAGTCAAAAGAAGTGCACTGGTTTCAATTGGCAAGGCGATTTTACCTTAGGCTGAAAGTCCAGAGAATGGATGTCGGACTCCGAGCGAAAATGCTGAGTTTTCTCAAGGACTCCAAGACATAGCTCTCTATGTTCAATTACCGGAAGACCATCACGGAACCAGTGATCCTCTGCGTACGTGCTTGCAAGGGGCATCCCATCGACAATCTGGGCGAATACCAACTCGGCCACCTGAGTGGAAATGATATTCACTAGGCATTGCTTGAGGGGCTCGAAATGCTCAGCATCTAGATATTTGAGGACCATCCTGGCAATGGGAAGGGAAAGGAGTCGACAAGTGTGCAACGATGGCTCGGTGAAGGAGCGCGAGAAACATAGATGCGAAGTCGACGACAGTATGTGATGTTGCAAGTAGAACGCAAGCAACCTGATCTTCCAAGTTTTTTTTCTCTTTTCTCTGGGCGGGGGGGGGGGGGGGCAAGGCACCAACAGGCAATTAGGTAATAGGGGGCTGGGCCGAGGACAATGGCCACATCATATTCAGCTACCCAGCTGTGGTCATATTGGAGCACTCACAAAGTTCGATCTCTTTGTCATAGTAACTGACCTTTACATGGGGTCACACACCAAAGCTGAACAAATGTCACGAAATAATATGTATATATAGGGATTAAAATAAAATTATAATTATTAATAATGTATAACTAGCACAATGGGTAGTATCACTAGGGTTTGTCCAGACTACAGATCTTGGATTGCTGAGATCCCAAGGTCAGTACCCCCTGTCAGCTACCTAGGTACTTAGTATTTACTGACTGACCACAATACAACTCTGTTAGCCCTTGTCCTATGCTCTCCGTGGTTCTTGATATTGATGCTATTGCCATGGGCACAACACAAATTTCAACAGTGCAGGGTGGCTATCTCTTGTTGAACAGCCTAGTGTCCTGCAACCAATTGCCAAAGCATTTTGTAAATTGGCCTGGATAGAGTCGAACATCTGCTTGGTTCGGCATATAGTCAAATATTTGCTTGCTCTCTGGCGGGCGGGAAGCTTCAAAGACGTTGGCACCACATGTTGGCAAACACCTCCAGATACTACGTTCGACCCAACAGCAGCGCCGTGGGCCCTCAATATTCAAAGCCGGCACCACGCCGTACTATCACCGATCAACAACGTTTCTTGAGAGGGGGATTAGAAACGAAACCACCCACTTGAGAAGGCTGTTCTGTAGGTTCTTGATCCACAAACATGTTCCCATGAGGATGGCCGATTGCATCAGGTATTACCTCATAGAAGGCTGTCCCATAGGAGGTGGTTTCATAGGAGGCTATTCAACAGTCCTATATGAGGTTGTCCCATAGCATACTATCATATAGTGGGCTATCCTGTAGGAGGCTATCCTATAGGAGGCTATCCCATAGGAGGCTGTTCAGTTGTCCTATAGGAGGTTATCCTATAGGAGGCTGTCTAATAGACCTATATGAGGCCGTCTTATCAAAGCAGGCTATCCTATAGTAGGTTGTGTTGATAGAAATAATTAGGTGCCTAAGCACTTAAGTACTTCTGCATCGGTTCTATAAGAATTCTTATAAACTCTCTACACTATGCACTACTAGCATTTTTAGTTTCTCACAGGTTATAAGCCCGGCTAGCTTAAATAGCAGAATGAGCACCTTAATTAATTAATACTAGAGGTTCTATATATCTTACCCCATACCCACATATTAGAACACTAGAATTCATAAGAAATCTAATATCTAAAAATATAAATAGTTAAGTTATTAATTAAAAAAATTAACTATTAAAAAGTATTTATAAAAGTATGGTTTTAACTACCTATAAAGTCTATTTATATAACTAATTATAAATTTATATTATCTTCTTTCTTAAATAGATTATCTTTAATTTACTTATATAAATTATATCCTTTAATAATATTAACTAAAATACTTTTAAAATTTTATTCCTTCCTTTTAATCTATTAAATTTATTTTTATTAATTAAATTAAAATAATATAATAATAATATACTTTAAAGTTTAAATTTTAATTTAAACTAATTTAAAAGTTATTAAAATAAAAAAGAAAAACTTTAAATTTAAATTAAAAGTTTAACTTTATTATAATAAAAGTTTTAAGTTTAAGTTTTAATTTAAATAATTTTTTTATTTTTTAAATTACTTTTATTTTAATTTAAGGCTTAACTATTAAATTTAATTAAATTATTTAAATTTAAAAATTTTATATAATTAATAAAATATTAATAGATAAATAGTAATAATTAATAAAACCTATTAATTAAAGTAATTACTTAATTAACTTTTAATTATATTAATTTAATAATTTACCTTTTATTTCTTTTAAGTATTATTTTATTAATATATTATAAACTTTTATAAAATATTTATTATTAATATATATTAAAAAAGTTTATATTATTATATTTATTTTAAAAAATTATTAAAGCTTTAAAAGTATAAATATTATAAATATAATAAATAATAATTATTTATAAACTATTATAAAAGGTTTATATTTATATATTTATTAATATACTTATAATATTTAATTACTTAAAGTAAAGATATAAAAAAACTTTATTTTTTAAAAAAATAAATTTAATCTTTTAATACTTTAAGTTTAATTATATAATTCTTTATAATTAATATCTTATAATTAATTATTAATTATTTTATAAAAGCTTTTTCTTTTATTTTATAAGTTTTTATATATATATAATATATAATTTAAAAGTTAAAGAAGGTATTATTTTAAAAAAGAAAGTAAGGGTTATAATTATAAAACTTTAATATATAATTATATAATATAATTACTTATTAAATTAAAGTTTAAATATTATAATTAAAATTAATTAACTATTTATAAAGAATTACTTTCTTTAAGTTATTATTTATTTTTAATTTTATTATTTTTTTAATTTATTAAATATAATTAAATATAAATAAAAATTATAATAATAATATTAACTTATAATAATTTTACTTATAAAATAATTTATATTATTTAAAATTTACTTTTTAAAGTTCTAAAAATATTAATAATCCTTTTATTAATATAAGTATAGTTTTATAAATTATATTAAATATAACTTTAACTTTAACTTAATTAATAATATATTTAATTATTATAAAAATAAAAATTTTATTTATAAATATAAAGTTAATTATTTAATAAATTAAAAGTATTAATAATATAATTAAATTAAAATTAAAAGTATTAAATAAAAACTTTATTAATTAATATTCTTTATATTTTATAATTATTTATTATATTATAAAAGTAATTTTTAAATATTAATACTTTTTAAATATTTTATAAAAGTATTTTTAATTATAGTATAATTATAATTAAAATAAAGTTTTTAATAACTATTAATAAATTATTAAATTTAAAAACTATAAAAAAATTATTAAAAGATAGCTCCTACTTTATAAAAGATTTTTAAAAGTATTAATAAAACTAAATTTTAT